AACACTGCCAGGCATTACAGTTCTCAGGAGACTAAAGGCAGGAGGATAAAGATGAAATGAGAGTTCAAGGAAACTATACAACAATGCCAAGTCTAAGAAAGAAAGAAAGAAAGAAAGAAAGAAAGAAAGAAAGAAAGAAAGAAGGAAAGAGGTAAGAGGGAGAGGCCACGAAAGATGGGCCTGGCAACACAGGCCTGTGATCTCAGCTACTCAGAAGGCTACAGCCAGGAGGTCAAAAGCCTAAGGCCTGCTTGGTTGGCTACAAACTCAGTTTTAGCATTCGAGGCTAGCCAGGACTGAACAGCAAGACTCTGGGGGATGGGGTGGAGGCGCTGAAAAAACTGGAAGGAAAAGGCCCCTCATCCTTACTTGTATAAAGGTCTTCAGAGAGCCTGACATATAACCAGAGCTGAGAACTGCCAAGAAATATTATCAAGACATAGTCCCTCACTGACAAAACTATTAATTAGATGGTGTAAACTCAGAATCTCAGAATCAACAAACAAGAGACCTAAAACTTTAATCCAGTGCCCTGTTCCTTGTTTCCCCAAATGGGAAAGTCCCTGTCAGGTGACAGCAGACCTACTTCCACCTGTCCTCTGCCCCCTTACCCAATTGGGGTCACAGTTCTTCACAGATGCTTAAAATCATCAGCATTTCTAGGTCTAGTTCTAACAGGTGGCACAACCTCTATCAGAACACTAGGCAGGAAGTTTCTGCTGCTGGTTCATCAAGCAAGTTGCTTAACCATCATCCACAGTAGTGGACAAGCATCTCCAAAGCAGCAACATATGGCCTTGGTTACACACTCAACTGACAACGAATCAGATCCTACTGAAATGAGAAATTCTGAATGAAAAGAAGAGAGTGCATCAGTATGTGGAAGACAGCATGTGCTGTGCGCCAGCGAGCTACCTGCTATCACTGCCACACTTCAACTCTCATTTCTGTATGTGTATAAACAGAGCTAACACTGTTCCCTACTTCCTCAGAAAATCAGAAGACTGGAGAAAACACACCTAAGACATTATTTTCTATAGTAGCAGCACACAGTTGCTATGATTAGAAAAGCCTACTATACTAATAATAGACACAATCACCCTCGTCAGCAGCACCCACTGGAGGCTGAGGAAATGGCTTGAGAGGTCAAAAGTACTGGAGCTGAAATGCCAGTACCAAGCACCCACACAGCAGGCTGGGTGTCCTCACACCTTCAACCCCAGCTGTGAGGGGACAGACAGTCAAGTCAGATTACCTAATGACCCAGCTTCTGATCCCAGATAACAAGAAGAATGTCAGTGAGGACACTGACACTGTCAACCTCAAAATAACTGCTTCATAATACCCGACCTTCCCTTAACCTCCACGGCAGCACCTTCTGCTTAAGGGGAGGAACAAGAGCAGGGCTCCTGGACAGGGCTTATAGTTTGCCTATGAACCCCGGACCGCTCTCGCCTCTCAATTTTTCCTTTCTATGTGGCATCCCTGCTCCCTAAACTTCCTCTCTCTGAGCTCAACTGTTGGGACAGTCGCTGGTAAACTGTTCTAACCACAGTTTCAGTCCTACTGGAATAAAAGCTGTAGAACTATAGCCAGAAAAGGGATGTTCTCTAAGTATATGAAGCAATTAGCCAAGGCCAAGGCTGTGAACAGAAAGACCTATTAGTTACCTATTAGCATACCAGTGAAGAGCCAATGCAAGTTAGCCACAGGAACACAGGAAAACTACCAAGTACACTCATGTAGTTAGAAAGCAAATGACCACTTACAACTTACAGTGCTTATAGATACCAAAGAGTGCTTTTATATGGGACAAGAGAGAGAGACAGAAAAGGAACTGAATATTGAAAAACTAAGCCAGTGGTACTGTTGCTCACCTAGGTCCCAGAACTTGGAAGGTGGAGGCAGGAGGATGGAGGATCAGAGAGGTCCAGGCAGAATGTAATTTGGTTTTTTGCTTTTTTGTTTGTTTGTCTTGTCTTGTTATTGTACTGGCAAAAGAAAGTGACACTATATCTTTCATTTCATACTTCTCATTCCAAGTCAGGCCTCTGAAATTTAACAGTGAGTCAGCCTCTGAAATACTCCTAAAACTACCCTCTGCTCAGCGCACATCTCCAAGTCACTGCATCAGTTCTCAACACTGGCTTCAGCAGGAGTGTTCTCAGCAGCAGTGTTTCTCATTTTGCTTGAAGGGTTTTACCTTGTAACCAGGCTGCCCTAGAATTCGCTCATTAGCCTAGTATGGCATCAAAGTCATGGTGTTTCAGCCAGTGAGTGCTGCAATTACAGGCTGTGCCCACCACACTCAAGTTTCATTTACAGTTTGCAATTTGTTTCTTTGGTTTGGTGTTTCGAGACCAGGTTTCTTTATTTAGCCCTGGCTGTCCCAGAACTTGTTCTGTAGATAAGGCTAGTGTAGAACTCAAAGATCTGCCTGCCTCTGCCTCCCAAGTGCTGGGATTAAAGGCATCACCACCTGTAGCAATTTTTTTATGTGTATATAGGCATTTTGCTTGCATGAATGGTTGTACAACATATGTTGGTTTTTGATTGTGGAGGCCAGAACACTGTAAGGCTGAGAACCCCACTCAAGTCTTCTGTAGAAGCAGTAAGTACCCACTGAGCTATCTCTCCAGCCCCTGCTTCATTCAGATTTTTGTGGTTGCTTTTATTAAGGTCTTTGATGTTTCTAGAGATAAAAACTAGGGCCCTGAGGTTGTACTTGCCTTTAATTCCAGCTGGTCAAGGTTCTTGCCTCCAAATCTGACCACCTATCCCAAACAAAAAATTTTTTTTTTTTTAAATAAAAAAAAGGGCTGGTGAAGTAGCCCAGTGGTAAAAGACACCCACACAATACGCTTGAGAACCTGAGACCTAAGTTTCCAGTGAATAAATGTCCCTCTTATACATGAGATAGTAATAAATAAAAAGGGAGACTAAAATAGGATATTGACTGACTTTATTTTCCTCTCCAGCAAAAATGTACATAACTAAATATTGCCTAAAATTTAAAGTCAAACTGTAGAACATGTGTTACTCAAAAATATTTCAGCTGGTGGGGTGGTGGTGGTGGTGGTGACGCCCGCCTTTAATCCAGTGCTCAGGAGGCAAAGGCAGGCGGATTTCTGTGAGTTTGAGGCCAGTATGGTCTATAGAGTGAGTTCCAGGACAGGATCTAAAGCTACAGAGAAACCCTGTCTCGAAAAACAAAACAAACAAGAATTCCAGCTGGGCAGGGTGAAAAGTGCCTGTGATCCCAGCAATTCTAGGCTGAGGAAGGAGGAGAGTCTGAGGTTAGCCTCAGCTGCACAGTATGACCCAGACTAAAACAAAAAGGATGGCAGGTATGGTGACACAGCACTTCTGAGGCAGAGAGACCCTGTCTCAAACAACAATATGGGCAGATCCTTGAGTTCAAGACCAGCCTGATTTACTGAGTGCATCCCAGGATAGCCAGGGCCAAATAAACAAACTATTTTATTTGTTGCTTGAAGCAGAAGTCTCCCGCTCCGTAGCCCAAGCAACCTGGCATTCCGTGCTCAGCCCAGACTGGCCTTGATTTGAGGAGGTCCTTCTCCATCAACTGAGCACTGAGCACTGGGATTACAGGTATGAGCCACTACATCCAGCTGAAATCTTCAGTTCACAAGTGTTTTAAATGTGTTTTATATAAGTATTTAACCGTAAGAAAACAGAATGACACCAGCACCTGGGAGGCAGTCAAGCAGACTGGAGAGTTAGTTCTAGGCAAGCCTGGCCTACTTAGTAAGGCTGTCTTTAAAATAAAAATTAAAAAGGACAAAGGCAGAATGCCCAGGACAATTACCATTCATCACACACAATTCTGCCTGAAATGTTAACACTGACAATTATTTATTAAGATCAAGCTACAACACTGGGTACCACACTGTTGGGTAATTCCAACATTCTACTCTATAGGAACTAACATCAAAGCCAAGGATATGGTAAAATGCCTTAAATACATCAGCTCTCTAGCTTTTCAATTTTTAATAATTCATTATAATCACGTGTGCACACGATGTTTTTGTGTGGGAGAGGAAGAAGCTAGTTCTTTCCACCTGTACAGCAGTGAACTCTCTCTCCTGTCTTGTTATTTTGTTTGGTCGGTCAGTCACAAGCTTTGGCCTACTGCTCACTAAACAAAGCATTTACTGCAGCTGACTCATGCATGAATGTATTTGACTGACCTAAATAGGACCCTAAAACATTAGATGAGAATCCTTGGAGAACCAAAGCTAACATTACATCTACAAGCAGGATGCAAAGCTAAAGCCATCAATCTGAGAAACACTCAGACCTCTCTAAACCAATTTTTTTTTGTTTGTTTGTTTTTTGTTTTTTGAGACAGGGTTTCTCTGTGTAGCTTTGGAGCCTATCCTGGCACTCGCTCTGGAGACCAAGCTGTCCTCAAAATCACAGAGATCCGCCTGCCTCTGCTTCCCGAGTGCTGGGATTAAAGGTGTATGCCACCAACGCCCGGCCCAATTCTAACAACAGTCAAGAAGAAAGATTTATGATAAAGCTACACATGCGGGAAAACTCCTGAAATAGTTTAAGTAACTCCTGACTTGGCCTGAAGTCAACTAACTCCTGATTAGACATTTAAAGCACTGGTATATCAACTGGGTCTCCACAGGCAATTTCTACAAGTTCTCAGATTTACCTACCTGGTAAAGGAGTTTGTCACACCCTGAACATAAAAAACTCTCAAAGTCAGTAAGCCTTATAAACTTGGTGGGTGGGTGTTTTAATGCTCTTCTCTTGGAGGGGTGGAAAGGATCGATCCCAGGGCCTTGCATACTGGAAGCAAAGCAAGCGCTCTACCACTGACCCACACCACCCACCTATGACTAGTTCAGCTAGTCTTCCAGCTTTTTGACTCAGACTGTTACCTCCAAAAGTCCCCTCTCAGTCACACACACACCTATTCTCACAAAAACACACTGCTGAGTCCATATCATGTTACTTGCCCTTACCTTTCCCAGGGCTGAGCACTGACAACCACAACTGCTATGCTTTTCCCTGCGGAAGATCACCTCGTCCATTCCTAGCTTTCCTAAGTTGCCTGTAGTTCTTTGTTTAGGGTTGAGACACCTCTCCCCACTTAGTTTGGCATTTTTGCCAAACAAAAATGCATGCATGCATACATACATATATATGCATATACATACATACAAAAAACATACATGCGTGCAAAAACAACTAATAAAAAGAAGCCATGAATTTGAAGGATATGGAGCCTGGGTATATGGGGAGCTTTGGAGGGAGGAAAGAGAAACATTGGAATTAAATTACAATCTCAAAAACAACAAACAAAAAAAACCCACGTTGCTATTACAGCCAATATGATGGAAGTGTAAAGAGAACAAGGATTTGTACATAGCTCTGAAACAAGATGGAGAAAGCTGGACTCGGGATTCTGGCAATTTCTAACAACCTACAGACTCAGTTTATTCTCTCAAAAGGAACAGCTCCACCTTGCTAGACAAGATAAACGATTAGAATAGTGATAAGAGATAAGAGCTCAGTGCAGTGCTTTGTGAAGGATCCATTTAAGTGCATGATCAGTAACTTATCATTACGCTATGTTTAATACTAGGCGTGACTGCACCCGTGACATCTTCCCTCGTGAAATCAAAACACCCATAACACACACACACACACCTGTAACCCAGAAAAAAAAAAAAAAAACTATAGGCATCAATATTTTTGGTGCAAATAGTTGTCAAGCATTCTAAATACTTAGCTCATTTACTTAATGGTGCATTACCTCCTCTTTTACAGGTAAGGCAAATTCAAGGACTGGACCTAAAAAGACTGAGTGCAGACGCTGCACGTTTTACCATCACATCGGGCAACGCCATTCCAAGATGAGTCCTGTTTAAACAGCCGAGCAGATCTGGTGCCAGATTTAAGTCTGAAAAAAAAATCCTCGGGCCTCACCCTCTTTTATTTAAACTTGAACGCTACCCAATTAGCTAATCCAACATTAAACTCAGTGGTTTTAGAGCGTGGACTGATGAGTCACACAAACCAGGTCTTAAGGCCTGCAGTGAGGTTTTTGTTACCTGGATGACCTTATTAACCGTTTCCAAATCTCGGATTCCTCATCTGTAAAATGGGGCTAAGAATAGCGCCTACTTCAAGCAGCTGTTCTGAATATGAATGCAAGGGCCTAAATTAACCGCGCAGCGCAGATCAGCTTAATCGTAAATACTGGGCCTCACGGCCAGGGGAAGGGGAAGGAGCAGCGAGGGTCGTTTGTCCCCAAGTGACCCGCAGACCCGACCTCC